ATACTGAATCAAAAAAAAAAAAAAATCGGCTTAGCCGGCTCGGCTCCGCAGCTTATGAATAGTGCCCCCCAAACTCACTCTTTTATTTATGTAGGAGAAAGAAGGTATATCTAAATTCTTGATTTTCTATGTCTGCACTGGGCCTTAGCTGGGTCCGTCCCTGCTTGGTGCGTATTTTTCCAATTAGGGTTTAGGGTTTCCAAGGAAGCAAAGTAAGTATAGATTGAAAACGTGTTGGGAGGTCCCCAACTTGTTGCTATTGTGAAAGGTATATCCTCAACTTCATTGTTAAGCGTTTAAGTCCCTAACCTTTGTATTGTATCTTTTACAAATGGGAAACTTCTGCAAATAGTCCCTAATCTTCACATCTTGATGCAAGTGTTCCTAAAATTTCACTTATGTGCAATTGGTCCTTTTGTATTGTTCCAATCGATAGTTAAAAATGTCAAACTTATATTATAGATGGACTTTTTAAATACTTCATATTTTATTTTTAGGAAACGAATTTTAAAGCAATCTATGATTGCATTGAAGATGTTCTTATTAGAGATTGATTGATAAAATGAGTTGTCTTTTCTTTTTGTCGTGTATTTATTATTTCTTTTTAACTTATTTATTTTATTTAACTAAAATTAAGGACATTTTAGTCCTTTTAATCAAAAAGTTTGACCTTTTAACGGTGAATTGAACAGAACCATCCAAAATGACTAATTGCACACATTAAGTCGAAGGTTAGATATTTTTGCACCAAGATTTAAATGTTATTGATCATTTGCAAAATAACCCCATAGGTTAGGAACCATTTGTTCTTATTTCCCTTTATATACATAGTTACGATTTTTCCGACCATGTTATATTTAAAAAAAAATGTGTGACTCTTACATATGTAATATTAAAAGATAAGATTGATAAACATTTAATTAAATAAATATATACACTCTCCACAACTCCGTCCCATCCCTCACCCCCAAACCTCTCCCATCTCAAAGTCTCCTCCTCATAAAAAGACAAGTTATTTTTATATCTCTTCTAAAAATTCCCTCACCTCTTTTCTAATTTTCTCTCCTCTGAGTTTCCCACATCGTATTTGCAACTGACAATTTTGGACCTATGAATACAAATAGTACTGGTGTTTGGAGAATTTAGAAAGTTGTTTCTCAATTGTTTTTGGCTATGTAATTCTACTATATTGAAATGTTGACTTTGTAACCATCAAATGTACAAAACTAGTACTATGCTCCAAATTTTAAAAGGTGAATGACTTATAAATGTAATTAAAAGGTTGGGGAACGTTTTCACAAATTAATAGAATAGGGACTTTCAAGTGTAAATATGTTAATGGCTGAGTTCACTGGGATGGATTACGTCCTGGCCGATGATGTAGAGTAACGTGATGGGAGTAAGCAAGGCCCAGTAGGGACAAATTACATTTTTGGGCCATGTTGGGCCTTGTAATGAAAAATATTGGCAATTGAATTCTAATTACCCAAAAAAATGAGATTTTTACTGTTTCAATGTTATTTGGAGAGAAATTTTTTTCCTTTTCACCATCATCAGAGAAGTCACAAAGGTCACATGCATAGACTATACAAGTTTATGTGACCTGATACTATGGTTATTAAAGGATAATTATGTCCATTCGTGTCCAAATTATCCAAAATTTTCAGAGATTATTCATTATAGAACAATTATGCAACCCCTTTAAATGTAGATTGAATCCATAATTTTATTGAAGGCTTGGATGATGTAAAATATCTCATAAATGGGCATGTCGATATTTAAATTCAAAAAATTTGTCTAACATATACCACATTGAATTGTTTTACAGGATTCAAAGAGACAATACAATGAACTACAAATTGGTGAATTCCAGATATTAAGGTGACAGCAAGTTTTCAAATATCCATCTTGGTTGTTATAGTTCATTTAACATATTATTCGCACGAGTTTGATCATCTTGTAACTTCATAATTCGAAATAAATTCATCGTGATCGACTCGTGTGATATTACGAATTTTCCACACATGGACATGCTTAATTCTCAACCCATTATGCAGCTGTATGATTAATTATTTTTAATTCAACTTGCAATCAGCTGAAAGCTGAAGTCCAGAACTTTGGCCCTTGAGCTGTGACCAAAAATGGGGGTCAATTGGAAAGGATTGAAGCTTAACATTACTACTAAGCTGGCTAAAAAGTTCACAGTTAATTCATTCATTCATGGGCAAAAATGGCTTCCAAATGCAGGTGTTAGCTTCAAATCTGGCCTTTGAGTCTTTGACATTAGAAAGTTTTTTAAAGTTCTCCATGTTAACATTTTTTTGATTTGTATTGTCTATTTTGTTGTTTCTTCTCTTCTTTTTTCCACCCAATTTGTTATACTTGTAACCACTTAATTCTGAATCACTCCGATTATAGAAAATTTTAATGTTCATATTTATGTTGATATCCCAGTAATATATTGACTTGACTGACCATGTTTTCTAGTTGCTGTATACATTAGATTATTGAACCATTGTGCCAGAAAAAAGAGAAAGGGATACAGTTTTGTTCTTTTAACAATTGAAGAGTTACCAGAACACGTCTCTGATTAGAAATCAACGGCTCATCCAAACGTAAGAACTTTTCATCCCCAATCAAATGTCATTGGCCTAAAGATATCACCCCGTCTTCCTTTATCTTCCATTGTTATACAAATAGATTTGGCATCAGTTTCTTCAACTTTCAGGTTCT